GCGAAACACACCACCGTTGGGTTCCTGTCTCACCAGTTTGTAACGCACAATGCCATTTGCAGTTTCGGGGTCATCAATGTCTTTTGCCGTCACTTGTATGACAGGCACATCTATAGGAGCATAAAACATAGTATTTTATGTTGTCATCTTATAAGAAACAAATGTATAGTTATTGAAAGACATGTCTGAGAAGGATTGAAGAATCTCCATATCCTACATTGTTTTGCCCTTTCTAGGACTGCTCCCATAAAAGGATTCTGGGTACACAAGGGTTTGTTGTCATTTTGATCAATAACTTTGATGGTGAGTTTGACAGGGGTTTCAGAGTAACTTTGATCCTCTGCTGAAGCATGAATTGTGATCTGCACTCAGACACACATAATATATAGCATTTATCAACACAAAATACTTTGGTAAAGTTACATGCAAACTCAAATTGTTTTAACATGTTATGTTTAAATTCTAGGTTCTTCGAGCACCGCAGGTCACTCACAGTGTATTCTTCAGTTTCCTCTCTGTCCAGGCCTTTGGTGACCCACAACATGCCTGAATATTTGTCCACTCTGAAAAGACCCTTGGGCGGCTGATCTGCTCCAGGGCCTGTGATTTTATAGATCAGTGCAGCATTTATAGAAGCAGCAGCAGTGGACTTCATCTGTGGAGCGAAACATAAAAGGAAAGATTAGAACTTTGCTTCTGTGAATGAAAACGAAGAACAAACAGGACAATGACATACAAATTAAAAATATTAGGAGAGAGATACACCTTCACCACTTCCTTTGGGAACGGGCCTTTATCATTTTCAGAAATGCTGACAGGGGGAATCAACCAAGCCCTCTTTCTTCTGATCATGCTGTTAGATGTCTTGGGAATAACTGTCGCTGAGACATAATGGGACCCTGGAGTTGTGCTGCTCTGAATGACAAATATAAATCAAATAAACATATGTAAATGCTTTAAAGCTTTTTGAGCTACAATATAGTGGTTACAAGAGTGTTTTTTTTTGTTTGTTTCAAGAAAATATTATTTCAGTCATTCTACTTTGAAATGTTATGTTTAATTCAATATTACTTTGTTTCTTTGCGAAATTTTAAAGCAATTTCTAAGTGAAAAGTGTTTCTGTAACAATTTTTATTAGTGTAGTTAATGTGCTACACCTACTACTACATCTATGTTCCGAGAAACTGACTCGAAATCAACCAAAAAAAAAGAAAAAAAGAAAAGAAAATGAGCATTTGGATAAATGTAAATGCAAAAATGTCTCGGATCAATTTTGAATATGTTTGCAGATGCCACTTGTTTTTGCAATGCATTTCATGTCAGTGTCCAAATACTTGAGGCCACTATACATTTTAGAAATAAGCAGGGAATTCAAAAAGCATTTGTAGATATATTGGTGTAATTCATGTACCTGCCAAAGCGTGCTGCTGTTTCTCTCGTCAAGCATGAACTGTCCCAGTTGAATGGCTGCTAAATACTCTGGTATGATTTCTGAGAAGACCATCTGTTAAAACAGATAAAGTATGCATTATTTTATGTGATGATAAAAAAAAAAAAAAAACTTTAAGCAATTAAAAAACTGATACAATTTCATATAATTTCCGATTCCTTTAGGTGAACAAGGAACACAAACATATTAACTCCGATACATTCATTTTCTTTATCCAATGTGTAATAAAATCTACAAACATGGTTACTATTAACAAATTATACATTCATTAATTTAAATGGATAATTCAATACTGAAAATAATCCCGTACACATGTACTTAATTAAAAATATCACAATCAAGATTTAATTTTATTGCAATCATGTAAGGTCTATTGTCTGGACTTTTAAAATATTTGCAGACCAAAACACAAACAGATGACAGTGTGATCTTCATATCAACATGTATAAAACAAAAAGATGAAAAAATAACTTAAATCACTTACCAGACACAAAACACAGATGAAACTTCCATGAGTGAATCTCTTCATGTTCACAGCAATAATAAACAAAATAAAGAAAGAGAACTATATATTTTCTGTGTGTATTATCCGCTATCTTGTCTGTTCCCAGCTTAAGCTGTACTCAAAAGTCTGATCTCAGTGTGTGTGTGTGTGTGGGGGGGGGGGGGGGCATTTGCATGTTTATGGAAAGGTGCTAAAGACAATACAATGAGCTTACCGACAGATATAAATGGCATGTTTAAAAGCATGAAGTAAAACATGACTCTCACATGCATGGAAGATTTCAATGGCAGCTTTAACAAACTACGTATGTGGATGTCATTTAACATGTTATAATACATCTTGTTACAAATTATTTTACAAAACAAATTAGTATTTTATAATAAAATGAAGACTGTTTATAGTGCTTTGATGCATCAACCCTTAGGGCAAACAGATAGACAAAAGTGCTGCTGTGTCATCATGGAAAAATTACTTCACAAGAATTGTTTTTTGATGGAGATGCTCCATAAACTGTAAATGCTGACAGCAGCACATCTGGTGAGCTTGCCAGGAACACTGTTAATTATGGAACAGTTTAAAGAGACTTTTTGTCTATATTTACCCACCCTCATATTGTGCCAAACAAGTTTCTTTCTTCTGTTGAACACTGAAGATATTTTGAAGAATGCTTGGTTACCAACAATCTTCAAACTATCTCCTTTTGTTGTGTTCAACACAAGAAGAAACTCATACCGCTGCCGAGTTTAAAAGAAAAACTAAAATTTCCAGTTTTAACAGCCATATTTATTTTATAGTACCTTTACCAGGATATTTCATATAGTTTTATATAGTTAAACACAGCAATAGCATGAGACCCTTGGCAAAAACACATACTTGGGACAAACATGGCACAGAAACACTTCCCATCAGTTTCACAGTCTCTAGAGTGGCAACTCTTTTACAAGACAAACAGATATAACTTACTGAAGCTTCAAATAAATCTCAAAGAAGTAATAAGGTTGTACATTACTCTCTCTCCCCCAGCATGAATTATCATACAGCATTTTCAGACTGACAGCTCTGTAGTGCTATTCTTATACTTGCACATTCAAAATTTTAACCCAAGAACAACAAATGACCATCAGATTAGAGCATAAACTCAGTTGTTTAGTATATGTTGGCCAGACTTGTCTTCTTACCTCACTAGATAGAATGCATGGCCAGGTACTCCCCAAATAATTTTTGAAGTAAACAATCGTCAGTATTTTTCTAAATCAAACCATAAGTAGCTACATTATGAAACTGTCCTCCCAGAAAAATCATAAGCTATACGATTCAGGATGTACTTCATATATTGTACATTCAAATAAAAACGATTCTCCCTTGTAGATGAAGACTGCAGTTTGACAGTCACAAATTGTTCCCAGAGTAAACGAAAAACTATAAACATAAAAAGCTTTAGTTGAAGGCCGAAAGAGCAGTGCTTCCCTACTAATGCAGTAAAGTTCATATCTTGTAATTAAGGACACCCTCATACATAAGCATAACCCGAAACAGATTATTGCATTAAAAGGTAAAGCATTTCAGTTGATCATTCAATCATGAGCAACTGTCAGAATAAGGCAGGGGATAAATAAACAGTCAAATAGGCACTTAGGAGACTTACTTACCTCATGCATTCTAACCAGACTGCTCTGACTACATGGCTTACCTGAAAATTAATGGCAATGGCAAATCCATCTATCCTTACAGTGTGGTAAACCATTCTAAAAAAATAGCACAATCTATAGGATGCAATGATAGATCAAAAATTCTTAAATATGCCACTATTATACAAACATCCAATAAAGTAGTAGAATGTACATATGTAGATTGTGATGCACTATTATATAAAACAGTCCTATTTGGCTGCCCCCCCCCCCCCCTAACAAAAATATTCAACAATCAGTTTTTTATTGTTAATTAC